ACAGCACTAGAAGTGATCTTTCTTCTCTCTCCCATTGCTGTGAGTTGGAACTGAATCAAGCTAACCCTCCAGGGGGTGTCCAGAGGCTGCAAACCACATGGGAGGAGACTGTCTATCTTGCTCTCATTGCACTGCTGGGAGACTCAAATCGCCTGCCTTTGGGGTGGCAGTGCAACTTGTCACGCACCAGGCCTCCAGGTTGCCCTTTGGAAATGAATGACACACATATTTCAATGAACAACCTAGAATGATACTGCTGATACATACCATCAGTGTTCTAGACTTAATTTTTCTTATTTGCATTAGTCACCAGGTAAGCTTGCAATCTTTTTCCAACAATGCTGCTCCTCTTAATAGACCTTTCACTCTAAGCTTTGTCATAGCAAGATTAGAGGCTTTTGCTTTGATTTCTTCCACAGGATCTAGCATAGGGCTAGGAACATACCTCCAAAATGCACCTGCACTGTGTTCATCCTTTCTTTTTTTTTTTTTTTAAGTGGCTAAAGACCCAGGGCCACCATTCAGTATTTATCCTTTTTAAAGCTTTTACTCAGTCATTGGCTTGACACTAACTCATACATGATACTCCGTTGGGTTTCCAAGGATGCAAATCACATAGGAGAAAATTGCCCATCTTTCTCCCTAAGAGATACTAGTGGCTTTGAAACACCACAGAGGTGCAGCTTTTGGACTAAGAATGTAACTTCCTATGGTGTAGGGCAAGTATTCGGGAATGGTAAAGGGTGAATGCAACAGGTTGTTGGGGGTATTTTTGAGGGGTGGATAAGAATAGCAGTAGTCATTGTCTCATTCCTTGAACTAACAAGTCCTGGTGAGGTAGAGTTTTAAATGTTGGGCTACTAACTGAAAGTCTGGTAGTTCAAATTCCCCAGGTGCTCTGTAGAAAAAGATGAGTCAGTCTGCTTGTGTTAAGATTTACAACCTTGGAAACTCAATGGAGAGTTGCCATGAGCTGGAATTAACTCCACAGCAGCGGAGTTTTTGCTTTTCAAGTTAATGAAACAACCAGTGAACTTCAGGGGATCACGGATGGAGCTACCCTGGCAGAATGTAGACACAGCGACCTGGATTTGAACATGTGGGAAGGGACTGCGTCTGCCTGATAAGAATGTAGCCACTTTATACCTGTCCACCTGCCTTTCATTCTGCTGATTTCCCCAAGAATTTTTCAGATATTTTGTCACCTCCAACTTCTGGATGTGACCTCCCACTTCAAAGATCTCTCTGTCATATTCCATAACATCCTTCTAATCCAAGTCCTCCATTAATGAGTTGTGTGACTTCGGACAAGATACTCCACCTCTCAGCTTCTGCCAGGTAGTTAATAATTTTTACCTTGAAAAACCGCAGGTGTATTGGCCTCAAGGCATCTGTAATTGTCCAGCACAGTGGCTCGTATTCAGAGGCCTTCAGCAACCTACAGTTCCCTCCTATACTCTTCCCTATCTGCCTTGGTAATCACTTTCTGGATTCACATTCATCCATATGCATAGGTGTCTGTGTATGTGTGTGTCTGTGTCTGTGAGCCTTGGTGTGAGTGTGTGTGGGAAAGAAAGAAGGGGAGAGTGCGACTGGGCTGAGGGGATGTGGGGAGGGGGCAACACACGACACATCTTCCCATCTTATTTCTAAACCTTACTTCTAAGAGCCTCCGAGCCCCTCTTCCCCAGTCATCAACATCTTCACTGGAGGCCCTGACAGGGTGAAAATGAACCACCATCCTCCTCTAATGACTCTACAAGGTACTGAAGGCCAGGGTTACACTTCTGCACTTCCTTAACTGTTAGATGGGGGTTTCATTTCCATTTCAGAGAAAAATCTTTACTCTGATTTATGCAGACCTGTGCATGTGCTCATGTGAACACATGCATGGGAGTACATGATAGTGTGTAGAGTGTGTGTGTGTGTGTGTGTGTGTGTGTGTGTGTGTGTGTGAGAGAGAGAGAGGGGGGGGATGTCTTGTAGGCATTTGCTATTTTTCGATGATGATTTCAGGCCACTTTTGTTCTGTCACCCTCTAGGCCACCCTCGGCCCAGTCCTGCACCCGGCCTGTGTAGAGCTTCCCTCCCCTGACCCTGTATTCTCCTGTGAGCTGATCTCATTATGGTAAATTTAGTTACAGCTGAAGTCTCCTTGTAACAAAGATTATGTCCAAGCCCAGAGTAATGGAACCTCGTCAATTTCATTAAAATAAAATTGGTTACAATGAATAATTCAATAGGATGATTTTGTTTCCTCATCTCCTCTTTGCAGATCGAAGGGGCTAGTGTTTATAATGATTTTTTTTTTCTTAAATTGGATTTTTGTTTAGGAAGAGATCATCACCCGTAATTCCTGACAGCCTCCTCCTTGCAAGATTGGAATAATTGCCTGCACAAAGTCTCTTTTCAAATGCTACCAGTAGAAAATGCTTTATTTTTCTCACATTAGTTGCAATAACGTTCAGGTGATTCTTAAACATGGCTGCTACCTCAACTTTCCCTCAAGTGATATCCTGACTGCATTCATGTTTCCCTTGGTTGAATGACTTCTTAAGAAACACAAGAAATGCATATCGAAATTGTAACTCTTGGTCCCCCTGCCAGCTTGCACTGCTTCTTCTGAAGCAAGACATTCCACATACTAGAGAAGCAGTTCTCCAGCATTTCACTCAGTGCTATTCATACATCTACAAGGTGTAGATGTGTGTGCATGTGTACGTGTTTTTGTGTGCACGCACATATATGTGTGTTGTGTTTGTGCATGTTGTTTATCATTGTTGTTATTATGTGCTGTTGAGTCGCTTGCGACGCATAGCAATCCTATGTCAACAGCCCTAAACCCTGCTCGATCTCTTGCCAACGTTATTGTCTCTAACACACCTATCCCCATTACCCCAGTGACAGAATTAATCCATCTCATTGAGCGTCTTCCTCTCCTGCGCTGTCCCTCCACTCACCCAAGCATGATGTCCCTCTCCAAGAACGGATCCCTCCTTGAAACATGTCCAAGGCATGTCAGATGCAGCTTCAGAATCTTTGCCTCCAAGGACCAGCCTGGCTTCACCCTCTCCAGGACAAACTTGTTTTTCCTCCTAAAAGTCCATGGTATATTCAGTACTCTTCTCCAGCACCAAAGCTCAAAGGCATCAACTCTCCTTCTGTCATCCCTAGTCACTGTCCAGCTCTCTGATGAATAGCAAGTAATGGCAAAGACCATCAGGTGCACCTTAGTCTCCAGACTGACATCATTGCTTCTCAGTACCTTAGAGAGGTCTCTGACAGTAGACTTTCCCAATGCAATTCACCTTTTAATTTCCTGGCTGCTGGTAACAAGAGTGTTGATTGTAGATCCATTGTTTATCTATAGTTAAAGAATTATTACACATTTCCCATTACCTCGTCTTAGCTAGCTCTTGTGCTTGAAGATGATGAGACCAGCATGAACAATCTGCTTTCAAAGAATAACAACCTGATGTGAGAATCAGACACAAAAGAGATCAACAGTGATCACCGTAAAGGGAGAAGGGGTGGAATAGGCCACAGAAGTTGCTTTGCTGACCTATAAGTCAATCACCTCTCTGGCGGTTCGAATCTATGAGTGGCTCTGCAAGGAAACGATGGGCAATCTCCTCGCAAGTAATTTGTAGCTTCTGAAAACCTGCTGAAGGGTTTGGGTTCCTTCCTGTATGACAGCAATGGGGTTTGAGAACTCACTGTTATGAGTGCAACCACAGATGAGAGGGGTAAGTACAGAGGTAGCATAAGGGAGGACAATCATAACCATGCATTCCCTCCTTCGTTGGGCTGGCATGTAAAATATCACAGAATGGCATGCTCTTGTTCTGTCCTATTTTCCTCAGGTCTAGCAGGAGCACATACAAATGAATACATAAAGGAACTAAAGGGGAAATAAATTAATGAACAAAATTATCAAACCATATAGCTAATAAATAAGCTGGACCTACCTTACACCTGACCCAATGATTCTGCACTGGGGTCTAGAAGAGCAACAAATCTCACTTTGATGTAAACGCCAAGCCTATCCCACTGACTCCAAAACAAGAAAGTAATATTTGAGATTAACAGTGGAGAAGAGTGGTTCCTCTTTAAGGCCAGGACACTCACGGTTGCATATATATGGCCACTGGGTAAGGCAGTCTGGAGCACTGAGTTGTGTCTCTGGGAAAAAGGAATCTCAGAAGAAGGCAGGTGCTTGACCTGCAATGTGGCTGTAAAGGGGGCTCTGGGGGCAGCACGGCGATCCTTAACATCACACAAGCTCAGTGTCCTCAACACTTTAACTCCCTCAGCTGAGCTGAAAGGACCCTGGGGATGGACCGAGGAATAAAAACAGTGCATTAGGGGACTGAGAAGTGAGTCATGGCTTCTCACAGTAGGAAAGTCCTTGGAAACCATCTATCAAGTTCAACTACCCTTTATTCTAAAGAGCAGAAAGAAAATAGTGCGCAGAGAAGTGGTAGGAAGTGGTCTAAAGTCACAAAGCAAACAAATCTTAGATTTAGAACACACTCATAGAAAAGTACCCAGGACACATATAATTGGTATCTTCAAACAAGTAGGATGTCTTATACCACTTGCACTCTAATGGCCTTATATAAAAGAAAGTTCTTTCCACAGATAGAAAGGATAAGATGGAAGGAAACATCAAAAATCAAATCATTAATGAGAACTGTCCATCAGGCTTCTGAGATGGCAAATCATTAGGAAAGGAGACTGACCATCTCTCCGCCACAGAGCAGCTGGTAAATTCAGATTGTTGACCTTTGGGTGAACATCTGGCATGTCACACATCACACCATCAGGCTCCCTATGTATTTATGCACACTGTGGTTTCCTACCTTAACTATTCCATGCTCAATCTCTAACAAATGGCACTACTTTGGGTCACTTCTATTTACACTGCCCTAAGGTGGACAGTCTTGAGGACCATGATTCAGAATGTCTGTAGCTGTATCACAGGTGGGCTGAGAGCTTACCTGGGATGATGCTGGCTGGCCAATGATGACCCAGCCTGGACATTGTTGGTCTTGATGAGATACCGAAGCATTTGACGCCCATTGATCCAGGAATCCCTGGGGTGTGTAGACACCGCAGTCCTTAATGCTAGTTTTTTGTTCAAATTCCTCACATACTCCATCACCATCATGGAAATAGCACTGGCTGGGTTCATCTGTAGGAAACGAACATGGAAAAGGAAAGCGCAGCTGGGTATTTGTTCTTTGATCTCAGCTATCATCAGCAGATGAGAATCAGAATCAATAAAGCCATCAGCATGATCAAGACTATTATCTCACCTCTTTAAAAGCTTACAAATAACCTCCATCTTCACTGCCCCACCTGAGCTTAAATGTGAGAGGAGGGTATTGTGATTTTAACCATTATTTTAATGTTTCAGATGAGGACGTTAAGTTTCCACACGCATGTTTAGTAATTCATTAAAGTCATACAGAATGTTACTGCTGGATCAAGGGAAACTTTCACTTTCCAAGTTTTAGCTTCATAATCTATCATCACAATCCTTGAGAGTAACAAGTTGGCATTCATTTAACTTCAAAGGGGATCTGAGTTTTGTAGAATGAAGAAATTGATTCACAAGATACACTGGCTGTCCTCTCAGCTCTACAAGCGCTTCACTGCTTTAGGTAAAGTTTCCTTCCCTTTCTAGACTGAATCCTCAGTGCCGAGAAGGAATCAGACCATTGGATTTCTAAGAGGTCCTCCTTAACTACTGTTCAAGGCTTCTAAGGGCTTTTCTGTTAACTTCTAAGTTTCAGTTAAAGATCAACTTAACAATCTCTCACATAATTCCGCGTACAGTAAGGATTTATGCTTGCAAGTATTTAAGCTGTAACTGGCTGCATTGATTCTTAACTTAGTTGCCAGGACAAAGATCACAGACGCACAGATCTAGTAGAATGCTTTCTAAATAGGTATGAGCGATGTTCCTGAGTACTTTGAAGAGGTGCTTGGCAGCATCTTCTAATGCAGTATGTTATTTGAGTTCTTGACTGCTACGTCCATAAACGCTGACTGTAGATCTAAGTAAAATGAAATCATTGACAACTTCAATCTTTTTCACATTTAGGTGCTAGCTTTAGCAGCACATATACTAAACCTGGAACAATACATAGAAGACTGACATGGCCCCGGCGCAAGGATGATACGCAAATTCATGAAGTATTCTTCTACATTTATCATGATGCTGCTTATTAGTCCCGTTGTGAGACTCATGGAGAACCTGTACCTCGACAAAGAAACTGTTGTTCAAAGGAACGAGGGGATACAGTAGGGTTTAAAATCAGGAAAGGTATGTGTCAGGGCAGTATCCATTCACCACACCTATTCCATTTGTATAATGGGTAGATTAATCTGAGGAAATTAGTCTATAGAAAGAAAGTGGAATCAGGATTAGAGGGAGACTCACAATGAAATGTAAGAAATGCATATGACACAACCTCGCTTACTGAAAGTGAAGAAGACTTGAAGCACTAATGGAAGAAGGTCAAAGACTTTAACCTTCAGTCTGGATTACACCACAACATAAAGAAACATAAACATAAACAACATAAAGTTACATAAAGAAAATTCAGTGTCTTAAGGTGATCATATAATTTCTCTTACAAACTGGTAGACTTTGAGAATGAGTTTGGGCTATTAAAAACTATGTTCAGGCAGTAGGCAAATATCTAGAAGAAAATTTGAATCTTCTAGCCAAATCCTAATGTATATTGTCATTCTTAGGTGACACTAAGATGATTAAGACTCTTTGGGACCCTAGGAACAACAGATCTGAATAGTGTTCTATTCTGTCATCCACCTCCAATATGCTCCAGTCCATTGTTGTAGTCACTGCGTCAATCTCGTTGAAGGTCACCTTCTCTTTCATCTTTCTCAGCCTGATGTCTTTTTCCAAGGATCTGCCTCTCGTGATTGCATTCCCAAAGTAAGTGAAACAAAGTTTCACCATCCTTGCCTCTAAGGAGCATACTGATTGCACTTCCTCTAAAACAGATTTGTTTATTCTTCTTAGTAGTTATGGAATATCCGATACACTTTGTTGGCACCAATTCTTCTATCTTCCTTATTCGTTGCCCTAATTCATTCAAATGTACACAAAGCAATTAAAAATACCTTGATTTGGATCAGGCACACCTTAGTCTTTAAAGTGATATCCTATTCTTTAGCACTCTGGACAAAATCTTGACAGCAGATTTTACAAGTACAACATGCCTTTTGATTTTTTTGATGTTGCTACCATGTGTGTTGACTGGAGGACAAGGAGAATAAAATTGTTAATGTCAATCTTCTGTCCCTCTGTCATGATGTTGCCTGTTGGTTCGGTGATGAAGATATTTTCTGTTTTCATGATACTGAGATGAATGCATATTGAAGACTTCTTTCTTTGATCTTCAGTGAATGTTTCAAGTACTCTTCACTTTTTTACATGTCTACTCGGATTTATTCTTCTTTTCATTAAAAAAAAGGAAAAATATGAGGGTGGAAGGGGAAATAATCCTTGCATCTTATGGATAGGATACAAGACTTGGGTGTAGTCCCCTACTTCCAAATTCAGATCTCCAAGATCACCCACCCAATTTTTTTTTAAACAAAATACCCAGACCAGTAGCCCAAGTATCTGGAATAGTCACTGAGGTTTTGAATACTGGGAATGGGAGGAGGGAGAGTAAAAATATAGGCATTGAGAGAAAAGGGGAAGAAATGAGGGACGGGCTACACTCTGAAAGACCCAGTGAGGCGGCAAGAGGTGGAAGAGAGTGAATATGGGAGGTAGACTGCTGCTGCCCACAGCCCAGGATCCCAGAGTGTCCCATGGTTTGTTCTGCAGTCCAGTCTTCATTCGTCAAAGGCTTCAGAGGTCTAACTCCAAGCCCTCCACTCCCTCCCCTAGTGAGCACCTCCTCATCTTCTCCTCTTCACTTTCTTCAAACAAGGTTGTATCATCTATATACTTCAGATAATTGATGAATCTCCCTCTAGTTCTAATGCCACCTTCTTGTTCATATAGTCCAGGTTTTAAAATTAATTGTTCAACATATAGACTGAATGGGTATGGAGAAAGGCTACAATCCTTATTTTAAGCCATGCAGTGTTTTTTGTTCTGTTAAAAAGACTACTTCTTGGTCTATACAGAGGTTTCAAAGGCACTATTAAGTGTTTTGGAGTTATCATTCTTCTCAATGTTATCCACAATTTGTCACGATTCACACAGTCAAATGCCTTTGCACAGTCAACGAAACACAAAGATCTTGCTAGTATTCTTTGATTAAAGCGACATGTGACACCAGCAGTGACATTCCTCACTCCACAGCCTCTTCTGAATCCAGCTTCAACTTCTGGAATTTCTTTGCTGATGTACTGTCAGCAGTTTTGAAATAATCTTCAGCAAAATTTTACTTGCAGGAAATATTAATATTGTTCAATAACTTCCACACTCTGTTGACTCATACTTCCTTTTGAAATGAGAACAAATATGGATCATAGGCTGTGTCCTGAGATGGTGGGTTCCTAAATGATTCTTTTTGGTACAGTAACTCTGTGTATTCTTTTCATCTTCTTTTTTTTTTTAAATAGTTTGTTTATTTTTCATTTCAATGAACATCTACAGAGATTTTGGAATTCCATTCATTCATTGTTGCACCCTTCTCCCCGCACAAACCCCTCCCCCCCCCACGTTTGCTCCTCTCCTTGAAAAGAAAAAGCAAAACTCCCTCATTGGTACACAATCCCAATGCTTTCTACATTGTTCAAGATTTTGTCAAGAGTCCTTCAGTATTGTAACTTGAGGCTTGAATTTGTTCTGCAGTTCTTTCAGCTTGGCAAATACGAAACTTGTGCTGATTCTTCTTTTTAAAAAAAATCATTTTAAGAAAATCAGAATGTATATTGTTGTTGTTGCGGATTGCCGTGGAATTCAGCACGACTCATAGAGACTCTATGAACAAAAACTCAAATGCCTTTCCATAACTATCATCATTTCTCCAAGTTCATAGAGTTTCCAGAGGCATGTGGTTTAGGAAGTGGATGCCACTCCTGCTTCCAAACCTGTTTTATAACTGGGAGCTCCACCACACACTGTCCACATTGGGAAACCATTATGGTATTTGATACCCTAATGGTACAAGGTTCAGCATCATATCAAACTCAGGTTGCTTAGAATATATAGTCATCCTAAATATAGTGTTCTTCCCTTTTTTACTCTAGAATGGAGTGGAACCCAGAAGGCACTGTATGGAGGGCCAAGGGCCAGAATTTTAACTTTGCTCCATAAATTAGCTACATAACTTTGCATAACTACCTCTACTTCTCAGTCTCGTGTGTCACATTTAAAAAGCAAAAATCATAGTCTGGGCCAGAATAATCTCTAAGGGTAGCCATAGAACTCACAGTAAAGGAATATAAAAGTGTTTTAAAATAACTGTCAAGAGAAAAAACAAAGATTCTTCTGAAGACTTTGGTTTATCCAAATGCAGCTGAATTAAATCAGCTTGTGAAATCAGTACGCACTTGAAACACTTTCAAGAAACATTCCTGCAGCAAGAATGAGCCTGGGTCAAGGAGAAATAAAACTTGGATATCTATGATGTTGACTATCTGAAAAAGCAGCATTGAATTCAGGAGTAGCTTAATTTGAGCCCCTTCCAAGCTCCAAGATCCCTTTTGTTTTTCTGCAAACAGTTTACATAGTGAAATTTTATCAGAAGAGCCAGAATAAACCAATTCATTAGAATTCAATTATTTAATGAAGGTTGAGCCAGCTGAGGGCTCTAGTGACCGGTAGCATGCCTAGCAGTTCAAGCGTGGAAAGAATACAGGCTCAGCACTTTCTCAGTAGCTCCAACCAATTGGTGCATGTGGCCAATTTACATATAATAAAATTTAGGTCCAATTCAAGAATGACCGGCCAAAATCCAGACTTTGCTCAATAAAGGGAACTGAAAAGAGGCTAGGTTTGGGCATCGGACAAACTTGAATTTAAATCCGAATTCTACCATTTATAAACTGTATAGGGTTTAAATGACATACATTAACCTTCCTTCATTTTCCTCAACCAAAAAAAAATCGACATATAGTATTTACCCACAGTTATTGCAGTGATTATATAAGAATGACATATGGAATGCCAAACTTTTCTCCATTTTACCTAATGGA